TTAGGTGAAGATGTGTGGTCTAATTCACACCATCCAATTAAACATTTTCACGGTCTGAATTTGATTCCTAAAATCATTGGATTTGGAGTTTTAAAAATCTATCACAAAAACTGCATATATATTAGTCCATAATAATTTTAAATTGGTTGATTTTATTATAAGTTATCATAGTTTATCTCTTCTTTTTCAACTAATAAACATATAAAACGTAAAACTATGGATAAAGTTTATATATGTAATTTATTAGCATGATAATCCTCACTTGTACGAAATATTAAACTAGTGTTTGAGTCAACATCTTTACACTTAATTGTTTTTCTTCATAGATCTCACTTAAACAAGTGGAATTTAAAAAAGTGAATTTTATTTTAAATTATTGCATTTTGTGTTTTTGCACTTATCATTTAACATTTTTTAAAGAATGATGCTACATTCTTTTTCTAAATTTACCTTTTAATATTCGTATTAGTTTTATATGGTATTATATGATAGAGTGAACATTATAAGATGAATTTAGAAGGAAAAGCTAGCACATATTTTTAGGTGACTAAAAATACTTGCAGTCACTCAAAAATATAGTTGAGTCTATTGAACATTTTTGTCATTTTTGGAATGTCTTATTATTTTATTTTTTTTGCACCTTTTTAGTCCCTCCAATCACTAAAGAATATTTCGAAAGTATTTGATAGTGTACCTTGTCCATGAGGTCTTCCACTATATGAGCATCTTTAGCAGTTTCTTCGGCCAAATGTTCAATAGACTCAACTATGTCTTTGAGCCTGCCATCCGGTAGCTTCACTTTAAAATCCTCCGCCGCCTTATCAACGTCATGCGCCACGTTCTCCACCACCTCCGCCACTTTTTCCACCGCCTCCGCCGCCGCCTCAACTTGCTCTACCACCATATATATACAAATCAAAATCCCTTTTAAGTTAGTTTCATGAAACCCCAAAACAATATCATTTCGCAAATCATATCTTTCATTGATCCTTACTTGACAATGCTATCAACTGAGCAGTAACCAAGGGTAGTGACACCCCAAGTCCGACAGCCCAACCTAACCTATAACAACATTAATCAATGATTAGCCACGCATTATATTTCGAAGATTATTGCAACATAAAAAAAAAAAAAAATTCGTGTGAGACCCTATCTCGAATACTTGTTCGTTAGACGAGTATAGTAGAGTTGATATAAAAATGTAACACATATACTGAAAAATGTAATTTTAATCAAGAATAAAATGCATGTTACTTAAAGTGTAATACTTTTGAAAAAAAAAAAAAATACTTTTACATAAAGTTCTACTACATGTACTTTCAAATTCTACTCTCTTACTTCTACTCTTTGATGTGACAAACAATGATATGATATTTTCATCTTGTAGATCCCAAGAAAAATGTTTACGTCAAGAATTTGAGAGAGTGAGTAAAATTTTGAAATAGAACTTGAGAGTCTACATAATAATTTCCTTTTACATATATATATTTGAGAGAGAGTAAAATTTTGAAATAGAACTTGAGAGTCTACATAATAATTTCCTTTTACATATATATACTTTTATTTAAAAGTATTACATTTGTTTCTTTATAAATATTAGATTTTCTCTTATAAATAACAAACGCTTATCAGCAACATTTTTGAAAAGTGTAATATTTTATAAAAAAATATAATACTTTAAAATCATAACGTAAATGTATTATATTTTTTTTTATTAAAAATATTACATTTGCATTAAGTAACAAACACTTTATTACATTTTTTTTAAAAAATTAACCCGACCCTAAAATTGTTGAGATGGTCTCACACAAATGAGATCCAAAATGAAATATAAATAATTATATAGAGGTTTTTGGGTCCTACCAAGAATTATCCGAGGGAGGCCAGAAGGGAAGAACGCCGGAAAGAAAGTCTCCGGCGGCGGCGGCTTCAGGAGTGGCTTGAATGACCAAGGCCCTAGACAAAAACAAATAAACAATTAAATAGAAACGTTTTCTTCAATTTCACATGCATCTTGAAACTGTAAGTAACTGAAAGCAAATCAGATGAAGAAGATATTGTGCATAGCTTTAGCTTGACCGTACCTTTTGTTTGAGGATCTCTGGGAGATTTTGAGATTGGTTGGGAATGGGAATCCATGATCATAGTCGTCATGGTTGTGTGTAGAAAATGTTGTTGCATAGAAAAGTGGATTAAAACCCAAAGTTTGAGATCTGCTGTTCAAGGGAGTGAGGGTGGAGAAGTTGGGAGAAAAAAAAGATGTTGACATGGTGATTCTGAGTTTTTCCTTTTTTTCTCCCTGGGAAGACTTCCGAACTATTAATAGTGTTGGAGACTTAGAATGGAGTTGGGTACAGTATTAAATTGATCAATCTGGGTTTTAATATCAAAAAAATTCCAAAGTGTACTTCAACATCCATGTATGCCTTGATTTTATTAAAGTAACTAGTCCACCGTGTCTATAGACACAGGAAATTTGAACCCAACAAATGGGCTGCTAAAATGGTTTTGGGCCAGTGTTGAGATTGATTGTTGGTTCAATTTAATTAATTGGATCATAGAAATTAATTTAATTTAATTAGCCCAATTAGATTTGATTTGGGCCATTGAATTAATTAATTAACTGGTCCAAACCCATTTTATATTTGAATTTGAATTATAAATTATAATTATAATTTAAATATAATATTAATTTTATTATATTTGAATTAGATAATTATAATTTAATTTGAATTTGAATTAGATTATACAATAATGAACCTGGACTTGATCTTTGGCAAGGTTCATTTTCCTAATTAGTTAATTAATTAATTAGTTAACTAAAAAGGGGAGTTGGTTGAGGAATTTTGGTTAAGCTTTTGGTATAAATAGAGCCTTCATTTCATTCCAAAATACACTTGAAAGCTTGAAGAACTTGAAGACTTGAGGAAATTGAGAGCATTTGAAGAGCTTGAAAGCATTGAAGAACGCTGAGGATTTGAAGGCATTTTTGTTGATTTTGCAGGCAATTTGAATCCATTGCAGGTACTTTGGAGCTTTGCAGAATTGATTGTCTCGAAGATATTGAAGTCTTTTGAAGGCGTTTGAGGATCTTAAAGCAGCTTGAATCCATTGCATGTGTTTTGAAACTTTGCAGGGTTGATTATTTCTAAATTCTTGACGCTCGTTGTTGGAAGTTACGCCACTTAAATCCCGGAAGCTACGCCACTTAAATCCCGGAGGCACGCGCCAATTGAATCCCGGAGGCTACGCCAATTGAATCCCGGAGGCACTTCCACAGATAACGTCAGTGAAGAATCAGAGGACTAGACAGAGATTTTGTACCTGCATTGAATTATACACACACTGTACAAAGAATTTTGTGAATATATATACAAAGTTTACTTTTTTGTGTTTACAGATTTTGGCACACCTAGTGGGACCACTCTGCCTCTCATCTCTTCACTGTTGATTCGCAAGCTCTACAAGGAAGGAATCTAAATGGCGTCAAGAAATCCCTCCTCCAAGATGACATATGCTCAGGCTACCCGCTCCAGGGCATCATCAGCGGCCGGTTCCGGTGATAGCCAAGGCGCGGGAGGAGCAATGACTCGAAGCCGAGTGAGGAACCTAGGGGTGCAACTCCACGAGGCCCAGGACATTGCCCGCCACATCGTCCGAAGGATTGCCAGAAACTCCACCATGTCACGGAGAGCTGCACATGACAAAGGATCATTCTCTACAAAGGAAACTGTTGCTGACCAGAATCCTACAAGTGAGGGAGCTCCAAGCAACAAGAGTCCTGCGAGCCCTATTCCCTTGAATAAAACTCCAAGCAGTGGAAGTTCATCACAGTCATCGCTTCTGCAGAGAACCTCACCGGAATGGAATCACATATACACAATCATGCCCGCTATGACAACGAACGCGGCTTCGGTGGAGGAACAACTCGCAAACATCACTAAATCTCTCGAGGGGATAGCTGCACTCATGCATAACCAAGAAAGGCGGATCAATGAGCTCAGCGAAAAGGTTGAAAGCGGAAGGAACGGCGAAACAAGTCGGGCTTCCGGGAAGCAGCCTCAAACCCAAGGAGATGAGATTGATGTCGAGTCCCCGCGCCATCAAAGTAGGCCAGGAATGGAAGGGACAATCTCCTGTCCACCACCCGCCGAGAAGAGTATCCCAATTTCTGAGGGCATGATACCCGTTGAGCAGTTGAATGAGTACATCATGGGAGCGATCAAGGGGAAGCTCGAGGGAGGACAATCTTCATATACTTACACTAAGCCATATACTCAAAGAATTGAAGAAATGAAAATGCCGTTGGGCTATCAACCTCCCAAGTTCCAGCAGTTTGATGGAAAAGGCAACCCGAGGCAGCACATCGTCCACTTCGTTGAAACCTGTAATGATGCAGGAACATACGGAGATCTCCTCATCAAGCAGTTCGTCCGCTCTCTGAAGGGCACTGCCTTTGATTGGTACACAGACCTGGAGCATGGTTGCATTGATAGCTGGAATGATATGGAGCGCGAGTTTTTGACCCGCTTCTACAGCACCAGGAAGACTGTCAGCTTATTGGAACTCACCACTACCCACCAATGGAAGGGTGAGCGTGCGGGCACTTACATCGAGAGATGGAGGGAGTTGTGCCTTAACTGTAAAGAGAGGATATCACAAAGCTCCGCAATTGAAATGTGCATCCAAGGGATGCACTTCGAGCTCTCTTATATCTTGCAGGGAATCAAACCTAGAACATTTGAAGAACTATCCAGTCGTGCTCACGACATGGAGTTGAGTATTGAAGCCAATGGAGGGCTCGACATGTCAAGTATCCTTAGCTCATCCAAGGCGCCTATAAAACAAGAATTCAAGAAAGGGAGCAAACCCTTCCCGAAACAAGAAAAGAAGGAGGCCATGAACGTAAAAACAGCACCAATGCGGGTTTTCGCCAAAGTAACTGAAAATCCCAGGTTAAGGCCATTTTCCCACCCATCTCGGGGTACTAGAATCATTGAAGAGATGCAGCAAAAACAGTATCCGTTCTTGGACTCTGATGTGTCACCCATGTTTGATGAATTGTTAAAGCTTAAGTTGATTGAATTACCGGAGATGAAGCGTCCCGAAGAAGCTTCTAAGGTGGACGACCCCAACTATTGCAAGTATCATCGTCTCCTCGGACACCCGATTGAAAAATGCTTCGTCTTTAAAGATAAGGTGATGAGACTTGCTCGTGATGGAAAGATTGAGTTGACTGATGCAACTGCCAGCACCAACCAAATTTCATGCGGAAGGTTCGCTCCGTTAGTTGAGGAGAGTGATGAAGAGGATGGGGGCAAGCAATACAAACTCCCGCTTCCATTTATTGTGAAACATGCTACGAGGCAACAATCGGAGTTACCACAGGTCAACCCGGTATGCGAGAAGGATTGGGTAATTGTTATCCACAAAAAACAAAGGAACAATGCTGGACATGTTAGATCTTTGAAGAGAATAACGAAGCAATGGGTTGAGAGAAAGCCAGCAAGGGACCTCGCCTATGACACAAAGACGAGAGGACGTCCCGGCACGTCTCGAACACAAGTTGCCCTGGCTCAATTCATGCCGAAGGCGCTTCCTCCGCATGGGACAAATATTCCTGGAACTCGCTTGAGTATTAAAGAGAGACATGTTGAAGAGGAGGAATGTTCATTCCCCGTGATTGAGGGAGGTGACGAGGTTCAAGTCCAAAAAGCCACGTCTTATACCGCCGAGATAACTTTTAAAGATGAGGATCTATTGCTTGGTGGCACACCACATAATCATCCATTGTTTGTTGAAGGTTATGCCCGCGAGCAAAAGATTAAAAGGATTTTGATTGATCAAGGGTCGGCTGTGAACATTCTGTCACTCCGAGCTATGAAAGAACTTGGCATCTCCACCGATGAGCTCTCTCAAAGCCGCTTAATGATTCAAGGATTTAATCAAGGCGGACAAAGAGCACTGGGTACCATCAGACTCGACCTCAGGATCGGAACACTAAACTCAAGTACACTATGTTATGTGATAGATGCAAGGACGTCGTACAACTTGCTGCTGGGCCGGCCTTGGATACATGAGAATAGAGTAGTTCCCTCATCCTGGCACCAATGCCTCATGTTTGAAAAAGGCGGGGTGATAGAAAAGGTAGTCGCTGATGAAACTCCCTTCATTGAAGCAGAATCATACTTTGCAGATGCAAAGTTTTACTTGAAGAAACAAGTTGTAGAGGAGGCTGAGCAAAGCAATGTTGACACACCTCTTGATCCAAAGTGGAAAGGCAAGCAAGTTGTAGACCAAGCTCATTGCGACAAGGAACTTGTTTTCCCACTCGCAAGGATTGAAACATTAAAAGCAGCTCCAGTTAAACCGCTTGAAGATGAAGCTCAAGTTGGGGCAAGTCAAACAGTGCCCGCTAAGCGCACTGGCGGCTTCGACCCTAGTGCATATAAACTTCTACTCAAAGCTGGATATGATCCCAAAGAGCCACAAAAGCTGGGGAAACTCATCCCAGAAGCTGGTGGTAAAGGAAAGTCAAATCAACAGGAGCCGCATGAACGGAAAGGATTGGGCTATGTTCCCCCTAAGCCAGTGCGAATATTCATAAACAGAGCCACAAGTAATTGCATCACTTCTACAGATGAGGAGGAAGGTGACAAGAAACAGTCTGTTTTTGATAGAATCGGAGATGTATAAGCACGACAATCAGTCTTCCACAGACTTGGGCCGAATCCCAAACCGGCTAAGAGAAAATCAGTACATGACAGAATTGGGCCTACTCAGAGTTCGAAGGAGCAGACCAACCCTCCTACTGAAATGGAACCCTAAAAAAGGCTCAGGAGTGCCGTTCCATCTCGCATGAGAAGAGAAGTTAATATCCATGTCTCGTGTGGTGAAGTTTTGAAGGTCCAACCAAGAACCATTGTACACACCCAAGTGCAAGAAAGAAGTCAAGAAAACATTGATTCAAGTTGTGAGGCAACACCAAGTCAAGATGAGATGGCATCGTCATTTCATATAACATTATACGATGAGATTCCAACCGAGGGTGAAGATGCAGAGGATGCGCCTCAAGAGCTAGAAGAAGGGGTACAAGCCGCAGTGGACGAACTAAAAGAGGTGGATCTAGGAACTCTTGAAAGTCCTCGACCTATCTTCATTAGTTCACTCCTTTCCAACGAAGATGAAGAAATATATGTCACACTTTTGAAAGAATATATTGATGTATTTGCATGGACATACAAGGAGATGCCAGGGTTGGACCCAAAGGTAGCCGTGCACCGCTTGGCAGTGAAAAAGGGGTGTCGCCCGGTTAAGCAAGCTCAACGGCGCTTCCGCCCCGAGCTCATTCCCTCAATCGAAGCAGAAGTCAACAAGCTTATAGAGGCTGGTTTCATTCGCGAAGTTAAATACCCAACT